AGGGTTTATTTTGTTTATTAATCAGATAGTTCCGAGAGATTAACCTCAATTAGTATGACCTAGTGACCTAATACGCACTTAGTGACAAAGCGGCGTATTTGTCAAGGCGCCTTTGAGCGAGCTTGATAATTAGTTCATTGATTATAATAATATAAATCAATCAATCAGTGGATTTCGACTCGCTCAGAGCTGTCTTGTCAAATAAAACAAGAAGTCACAACAATTTTTTTTCGAGTTAATTCATGAGATCACACCAGCATAGATAATGATAAAAATGACTATTACCGTAACTAAAGTGTATTACAAACGCATTCAACTGATCCATCATATGTGTCTATATAAAAAATAATAGAAGTTTGGCAAACAATGTTAACTATACTTGCATACCGCGGGGACATTTTGAAATCACATCGGGTATCTGTTTCTCAATGTCGAAAGGCCGGGCCGAAAGAATAGGCGCAGAAAACTGCTGCTGCTGCTGTCTGTCTTGCGTGAGGATTTTCAGTTGCCCACGTATGTAGCTTGTGGAAATATACTGTACCATTGCGTGAAAACTGCGCTTCGAAACTAAACCTAAAACACCCCACTAACGATGCATTATCCACGTTCTGCTTAAGAAGCCTCTCACGGAAAGCCACACGAGATGGTTTATCTACTTCCCGCAAGAGCGGCACTTTCTGAAAATGTAATAGTTTACTTTGTAGGACACTCATACGTGCTGATAATGCATCCTTGTAAAACGCTCAACTTGCCGTGTACTAACAGTTGCATGACCTGCTCGCCGAGGTGGTCTCGCGGGCGGTCTGGATCGGCAGATTAACGTTCAACACTTTCCGTCTCAACAAATCTAATAAGCGCTGCGCATTCTCTGATCGCAAGACACGTGTCGATCGGGGTAACGTTCTCGAGCGGGGAATTTGTTCACAGAGTAGTGACAGCATGTCTCCATATAGATCAGAAAGTGATCTCGCTATTCGCTTGCACGTTTCACTGCACACTAGCTGCAGGAAACTGTAATGACTAACACTACGGAAAGCCGAAAAATTCCCTTTTGCCGACCGAGCGTACTACCCCAGGTGCGCATGGATCAAACTCGCTGAGCTTGCGCCTAGCGTCATACTCTGAGGTTACCCGAAACGCGCGTCGAGTATATACAGCCATGGTCGCAATTATTGCCCCAAATTATACCCCCCTGTTTTCATCAATACGGAATGATCTTTTGAAATAGTGGAAGAGGAATGTTCGTCCCAAAATAACGGTTTCTGCTACCCTTCTCAAGGTAGTTCACCAATAAATTGGCACATGTATTTATATAATATATTATACACTAAAATGCAGGAAAACCCTTTGGGGCAACCTGCACATCAATTTATGTTTAAACCAGAATCCTGGTTGTATTAATTGTACAAGAATTGTTGATGTTATAAAATGGTGGGTGAAATTATAAAAAAATGGAAATAATTTCATTCAATTGATTCACTCAAACAATTCTGATTCAAAATATTTTTATCAATTCCTATCCCCTCTTCCACAACGAAGAAATTGATTTTTTATTTTAGTTTCTTGAGTATTTTTTAGAAAATATATCTTCCATATTAATTTTTTACAAGTTGCAATTTCATGTTCGTATTTAAAAAAAAACTATTTTAAAAAACAAATATTTTTGGTGTAATTTTTAAGGTTTATATCTTACGACACTTCAAGTTTTCTTGCGTTACTCCTTAATCCTGTGCAAAGTAATTTTGTGTACTTACACTTAGCGCTCGCCCGTTGATGCGTCTCTGGGAGCAGTTTTTATTGGGGCTCACTGGTAGAATATTTTTGTAACTTTTAGTGCACATCCATTGTTGTGTTGCTAAATTATACTTCTAGAGCGTTTCAAAACGCCAACTGCCGATTTTATGAGCATTTTTTCTAGAAGTAGCAATACCGTTATACCTTAGATGCATATGTCCTGTCGCTCGTTACCTATGAAATCGGATCGTCTCCTACCCCTCGCTGGGACGCTCGATTGCCGTGCCCTAGCGAGCACAAGTGTTCTTTGACAGCACTGGGTTAGGGAAAAACCTATATATCGTGCGAAATCGGTGTGCGCCCTCACGAAATACGCTTCTAATTTAAGGCAATATGCGCGGCTCTGTTGTTAGTGATCTGATGGAAACTGTCCGAGCTCCTGCTGCCCGAGAAGGCGTTACAGATTTCCGAAATTTTTACTATTTTCAGATAAACATCTTTTTTTAAGAGGACTAAGATCGTACTACAAATTCCCAAGTAAATGAAAAATATTTATTGAAGGATATTCTGTCTTGAATCCTTAGTATAGAATATTACAGAAATGGAGACTTTTAGTATTTACAATTTATAAATTGTTCAAGATGATGCGTCAAGATTGAGATTGAATATAATAACGTAAGGTTTTATGTCAGCCAAGTAGTAAATATAGCACCCTTATTTGTTTAGTGTACTATGATATGGAATTCAACTGTAAGGGGACGAGTGTTACAATATAAAATTATTCTACCGTTTTCTGCATAAACGTTAGTTTGTTACAATTCAATTGTTGTTCGCTCATTGGAGTCAATTGGAATTATTTTAGGGGTCGATAATTTCAATTAAAATATTGGGGGTGAGCCATACCAGTTAAATACGACTTCCTAACCAATACTGACGTTAAAATTATTATTATTATTGATTTGTTAATTCAATAAATATAAGACTTTAATAAATCCTACAAAGTTTTAAAAATAGTTCTCTTATCTCCTATGTGAGTACATCGCAGAAAGGATCACAGGAACGCGGCATGCCATACCCTAGCGTTCTCGAACCTTCTTTCCCTCTGGTCCATCTCTTAATTCCTAGCAGATAATATAAATTTCTGAGAGACGTCAACAGCTTTAACTATTTCGGCAAAAGGACTCTGCAACGAAAAAAGTTTCGGAAATTTTTGGCCAAAAGCAGTAATGTTTTTCTTGTTGTGCAGCAGCTACTCGATGTCAATTGACCCGGAGTGAAACAGGTTTTGTCTTAAGGTACAGAAGTAATGTTACATACCAGAGTAATTGATTTTATTAACCATTCAATACATATCAAAATTCACGAGTTCTAAGTAAATAAAGTATTCGTATATTTTTCTTTGAATTTCCCCGTGAAAAGTCAAATGTTAGTTACCATTATTTAATCCATAACACATCAAATATGGAACACTACTTATATCCTCCCTATACATTTTCATTGTGTTTGGTAGCAGAAGACGACGACTTCTTAAAAGGCATAAAAGGCGAAATGAATTGGATTCCTACAGTACTTATATCCCACGGTATAAGATACTTTAGACACTTTATAGAAGTGCTCAGTAAAAGTGATGAAGCTGCCTTATTAAATAAGATAACTTAGCTAATTCACTATTCTCATTTTCCGTATCCCTCCCAAGATATTGGTGCCAGGTGATAAATAATGCCAGAATGATCACTACTGACTTGTTTTTTTTAGCAATTTTGAATTCATCAAGATTACTTAGATCATTTTAATAACTGGAAGCTTGCACCGAACGCCAAAATTCCAATAAGAAAGTGTTTAGGTCTTGTCTAGGGATGGGAGTCTGAACCCCTAACTCCAACTCACGCAGTGTCTTTGACCGCAGCCGTCTGCTATATTTTGGCCAACTGGAATCATGAAGTGTGGGGGAAAATATACTAACGAAGCTTACTCATATTATCAAGAGAATTTGAAACGCTTCATTTTCGAGGAATGTAGGGCATTCCATCCACAACGGAATCGTATAAGGATTTTATTACGTTTCAGACTGACTTCTAAATTTAGCATCTGCATGTGAAAACGTGTTACAGGTTTCCGTGATGAAATTTGTTAGAAACAGTCATAGTTTGGGTAAGTAATTGGTTTGAGTTAGCCAGTGAGTAAACACAATCTTCCAAGTGTCTGAATGCTTTTAGTAAATCACAAGTGAGAGACTTTTGTTTTCTAAAACTACTTTATGTATACTAATGCAATTTGCCTGAACCATCAAAAAAAAGATGCCAACCATGATACGATATGAGAGGCTCATATTGCGGAAGATATACGTTCCAATACAAGAGACTCAGGCATATGGAGAATAAGAACCAAACAAAAAGTTTAAAATAAAATAAACGGTGAGGATACAATACGATTTATTAAAGCCTATTCAGTAAAATGTATACCACAGTAGCAAAGAATGCATGGCAGTAGGCTCCCAAAGAAAATTATTGAATGGGCAGTTGCAGGTCTAGAAAAGAAAAGAAGGCCAAGAACTCGGTGGATGGATGATGTATGCCAGGATCTCCGGGTGCTTAATGACAGAATGTGAAGAGAGACTAATGGGCGGGAAAAAATGGAACAATATAGTCCCGAAGGTCAAGATCCACAGAGGGTTGTAGAGCTAATGGAAGAAGAATGCAATTTCTCAATTTGAACACTTTTTACTATGTTAAAATAAAATTTAAAAACACGTTTTGTTTCTTCTAACGCTTGATGCAATTTTTTCTTCAACGGAAGCGAAACCAATCTGTCCTCGACTAGCTCCAAGCTTGTGTAATATACAGAAATAACGCCAAATATCATCTAAGTCAGCGGAAGTCCATAAATACGCAGGTGTAAAGTACGTTCACGCGATCGGCATCATGCGATTCAGTCATTTTGTCCTCGTACTCGGTCGAATAAAGCAATAACCTTTATTATAGCTCACTGGTATTTCAATTCATTTTTGAAAATAAACTTTCTTCTATCTTTAGACATGAACACTTCTTGTTAAGCAATCTTCATTTTAAGTGACTAATAGGAAGAAAACGATTTCTAGAATACAGTTTTTTACGTAAATTTGGAGTAAATATAATCTTTGAAGTGTTATAATTACTGGGTAAAAAGGTTCTTTTTAGAGAAACTATCAATTTTAACTACTTTCTCTCTGCGTAGCTACCAGTTAACATAAAACCGATCTTAGGAATGAAAATTATTTTTTCTTACAGATGTGATAGAGAGGATTTGATCACCAACCACCAACGAACATTTCCACAGTTCCATGGTATGTATAAAGAATATATCAGTATTACCCGAACAAAACTATTTTGAATTTTACGTTGTTTTACTCAAATAAGGAAAACATATATTACAAGAATGTATACATTTGTATTAAGATTTCTCTGAAAAAGATTTATTTTGAGCGGCTCCCTCTCTTTCGATGACCGTTCCAATTCAGACAACAGCCTTCACATTCCTTCCCCGTCTGTTGTAAACAACGTTTTGCTGCGACGCAGCGACGGGATTTGGAGCGTGGTCTCGGCTTTGCCATTCCCTATACAACATAATACTGAGTGTTCAAATCAGTACGGTTAACAATAATAAAAATTATTGCAGAGCCTAACTACGTCGTCTGACAGCCAAGTGGCTAATATGCGCGGGCGCTCACTGTGTCGACACTCAGATTTTTATGAGTCTTCACCAACAGATAGTTTTTTAACGAAAACGTATAGTCAAATGTTTACATAGAGTGTGCCAGGAAGGTCTGTCAGCTGTGACACCAGTGGCAGGTGAGAGTGCTAGCAACATAAATTATGTTAGTAGCGCGAACTCCAGCTTGAAACAAAGTAAAACGTAAATTTCATATTCATGGCAATCATATCAGATGCTGGAAGTGTTGTCTCCTTCACTTCCTTTCTAATGATCCCACTGCTGCGAACATAAATGCATTTTTAACAGGTGGCCCTGATTCGGCTCGATGCGAATACACTAATCTGAATCTGGGAACTGGAAGTGAGCTAAAATTGAAGCTGGAAGTACATCGTCGGCCGTTAGCAACAAAGCAAGGGATGGAGAAGGCGGCATGTCAGACTGTTACTTTGCAAGTCTCACCCGCAGAAGTGCGAAAATATCAGCAACAATAGTTACTTTGGAACTGGTTAGCAACTCGAACGTAATACCTATTTACACACACCTACAGTAGAGGGGTGAAGGGGAGGGCATAGAAAACAGAGAAATTCTGGTTGGGCCAATTCTGGGAAGACAATGAAAATACAATGCTATGGTTTGAGTAGCTTTTAAAATAAGTTTTACATTAATTCTCAAACTTTTGTTGTATAAATGAGGCATTGGATGTCAGGAATGAAATATTGAAACTTCAAAACACGTGTAAATACCATGATCGAAAAAAGTGGTCCCATTTCTTACGACAGAAGGGAAGGTCAGTAAAATAATCCATCTCATTGACAGCATTAGTGGTGAGCTGTTTCACTCAATATCTGTAAGATTTTATTATCGTAACATAATAAATAACATGATTTATACGAGTGTTCTGTGCAAGTTTTATGTCAAAATCATACGCTATTTCGTGATTTTTAATGAAACAGCTATAAACATATCGTTAAGACGTTAAAATCCTTAGCAGAAAAATAATGAATGACATGAAAACGACATTTCCAATATTTCTTTGGGAGATATTCGAAACAATTTCGTGCCAAAAAGTATAGGTCAGGAGGCTAGTATTCGACCCAGTTATTCATAGAAATGCTGAAAGCAAAGGCCGTTTAATTCAAGTCACTGGAAGATCATACGATTTGAATGTAATATCATTCATTCCTACAGAAGAATGCCAGGTGACAAAACATCTTGGTAATAGGAAGATCACGCCTTGAAGTCTACGGCTGTCTCATAGGATTAGTAGAGATGTATTGAGTAACTGTATCTGAGAAAATTGATATCGTAGTTTTTAGACGGTCATTTTTGTATTTATAATCCGAACGTTTCAATCTGATGATTCCAACAACCTTGAACAAACTAAAAATATTCCTCCGCTTTCTGAATGACCGTGGTAGATGCTCCGTAGAAGATTACGTTATTTCCAAATAATTTTGAACAGATATTAATAAGTTAATGGAATTGCATTTCAAAGTATACTTTATTTTAGAATTGCATATTTCGTGTGAGTTCGTAATATGAAAATTCATTTTATTACAATGTTCCCCCTTTAATATTTTACAATGTCAGAGTATGAAGAGTTCGTACAAATGGCTTGTGAAGAACGAAGTCCACAGATTACGAAAGAAATCATTCAGTGTCTGTGGCAATATTTGATAGTTGTTATTATCAAAGTTATAGGGAGTATTGACGAGTATAGATTGAATGTGGTCAAAGCGCATTAAGAGTTATTGTCATTTAGAGAAGATGTATTTGATGCGACAGTTCAAAAGAATTTTCGCCAGCTTTCTGATACACTCGAAGGAACAGTATCTACATTTCTCATTTACCTCCTAAGTTGTCAATGCTCTTACGGTATTACGTCGACAGTTGTGGTAATCTTGGACTTTCACAATTTTGTTCTATTATGTTCCCTCTATTTGCCTTATTTATATTTCCATTAATTTGTGTCCGCCCTCAAATTCTGCGTTGTTATATTCAAGGGTTGAAATGATTGAAAACGATTGAAACGATTACCATGATGTGATTTCATATTTCATTCTACGTGTCAGTCAGGGAATGAAATTGTTCAGATATTGCGACTGAAATGGATGTAGACGTAAGCTGTCATTTACATTCAATCACCGTAATATAGAAGTTGACTGAATGTCATTTGTGTTTTATTTTGTTATTCATTAGGATTAGCGCTATACAAGATTTTTGTACTAAAATCTAACTAAGCATTAGCCTTAACATGAACAATTGCATTCCCTCTGGATTGCTCAAATTCAATTTTCGTGTTATGTAGTTGGGGTGATTTGGAGGAATGGTAGAGGGTTAGAAATAAATTGCATTAGGTTAGATGAGGAAAAAGTTATTAAGGTGGTCTGAATTTATCCTTGGGAAATCTGGATAGAATTCTGCTTTGGTTGGTACTTACGGATGGAAAATATGGTAAGGTTTATAAAAATGAATTGGAAAGTTTTGAAATAAATTGGGTTGTTATCAATAGATCCAATTCTTTATGCAATTGATTATTAGAAAAAACTACGGATCTTTTACTGCAGTACGAAGTATTTTGTTTTGAAAAGTTTGAAGTTGTTTTACTATAGTACAGGCAGCACTTCCCCTAATGGGGGCAATCGTAGATCAGAAGTGGACGGAAGGCTGATTTGCATAAAAGGAGAGTAATATTGGCCTTGCGAGCAGATTTTCTGTTATTTAGGGGCTATAATTTGAAGAGGGCGACTTGTGGTTTGTTGGTTTTGTTTATGATATGGAGTTTCCAAGTCAGCCGCGTATGTGGAGCTGAGGAGCTTGAATGTAAATGACAGGTGAAGCATTTCATTGGGGTGAGGGCAAATGTGAACCGCGAAGCGCGAGAGCGCGCGGCGGCAGCGGCAGCTTCCGGGAAGAGATAGCGGGGGCGGACGCGGCAGGGGTGGCTGCGGCGGCCGGCGCCGTCGCGGAGCGTCGCCATGTGCGCCGGCGGGGGCGGGGAGGCGTTGTCACGTGCTGGCGCTGGCAGC